ATTAGTGACCAAAATAATGGTCCCTAACGAGTTGTTGTTATTTAAGAATGTTAGTGATCACTAAGTTGGGAGTTTTAATGATAAAAAATAGTGTAATCACTAAATTGAAATAATTAGTGACCAAAAACAGTACTCACTAACTAGTTGGTTTTACTTATAAATGTTACTAAAAAAATAGTGGTCACTAAGTTGAAAACTTTAGTGACAAAAAAAAAAAAAATAAGTAGTCATAAAATTGAAATGATTAGTGACCAAAATAGTGGTGACTAATTAGTTTATATTTATGAATGATACCGACAAAAAATGATGATCATTAAGTTAAAAGTTTTAGTAACAAAAAAGGTAATGGTCAAACTTAAAATGATTAGTGATCAAAAAAAGTGGTTATCAACTAAACAAGACATTTTCTAAAATACATCATATAAAGTAAAATATTATAATAAATAAAATTGAAACAAAAATTCTTGTAACTATGAGTTTAATATTTTTATTATTAAAATTTTAGTTACATATTTAATTTTAAAAAATATCATAATTAAATAAATTGCAGTGTTTAAATAAATGTATATAATAAAACATGATTCAAGATTCTTAAAATTGGTTGTAAATTTCACTTAAATTTTCAAAATAAACCTAATCAAATGAACAAATCTCACAACCTGCTTTTCTTTTTTACTTTTTTGCAACTATCTTTTGATTGGGCCCAAAGACTCAATTCAATAATTGTTGGATCATACATTCAGTTTTTTTAGTTGTCTCCTGTTTTATTTAATGTGGTTTTATGTTGAAATATAATTAGAAAACTAAAGATATGGTAGTTAATCTAATGAAAATGCTTCTTAAATAAAACCATCTAGCTATATATATATATATATATATATATATATATATATGCACCCAAGTTGTTACCTGTTGTCATTTTCCATGACAAAGCCTCAAAAGCATTGCGATAAAGTAAAGTCAAGACTTCTATAAATCAGTTATTTTTTTTACTGTGCTTTAATTTAGATAAGTTGTATTCTTTGATTATTCTTATAGAGCATATGATTCAGACTTTTTTATGCTTGAATGTTCCCTTCTCAGTTTCCCTTTTCATAGTATTTTATTTTTCACATTTTAGAAGAAGCCACATAATTCGATTTTTTTCACAGTTACACTGTTCGAATTTAGCACCCTGAAAGTGTTAATGAGACCTAGAAGAATGTTCGAACAGCCAGCGGTGTCATAAGGAAAGTAGCGGATGCAATCACCAACCTTGCTCATGAAAATAGCAAAAAGATTGAACTTTAGTCGGTTCCACTATAAATAAAATGAAATTTACCAAAAATATTTATTGTAATAAAATGAAATCTACAAAAAAATAAAAGTATTTGTTTTTTTAAATCTAAAAAGTGAAAATAAGAAAGTGCTGGATAATACAAATCACATAATATATAAAATATGTTAATGATTTGACACATTATTTGGAAAAAAAATTAATTATACCTTTTAAAATGCCATTGTGTTTACATAAATACTGTTTTTTATAAATTTATTTGAAATATTTGAATATATATGTGATTAATTGAAAGAAATAATTATAAAAATATTAAAATAAGAAATAATGAAAAGAAAGGCAAAATAAAATTGGTTTTTATTTTATTGGACCAAAAATGTAAATGAATGAGTTGAAACGGACCAAATCTGTCACTTAATTAAAGTATTAAGCATTTAAATTTGTTTTGGACCAAAAATGTAAATTATCATGTTTGGAGGGGTCTGATTGTAAATGTCAAAAAGTTCAAGGGGTCGAGTGTCATCTTTTTCAAAAATGAAGTACCTGTTTTGCCAACAGTACATGTCTGTTTGGAGAAAACGACCCCACAGCCAAAAACTCGTGATTTTGTCTAATTTCGTTAACTAATAAGCCAGAACTCTTACACATAAATGTACAGCACTGACTTAGGATCGTTGTGATTCAAATAGTTTAGAAAATAAGCAAATATTGAGAAAGAAATCTGAGCTTGAAATTCGAGTTGAAAATCTCAGTTTTTCACGGATTTTGGGTGAGATTCTTAATTAAATCTCATGGTTTTTATGTCGATGGCTTCGTTGTTAAGAACTATATCAAACCCCATAGTCTCATATCTCAGATTTGTGTTTACATGGTTCGATTTTATGTTTTGAAGTTGTTGAATTTTAGTTTTAAAAACAAAACTTTAAATGAGAAAATGAAACTCATTTTTTGATGAAAGTTCGTGATTCAAGTCAAAATATTGGTAAAAATATTACCAAGGGTTTGGTGCAAAAAGAATGAAGAAAAAAGATAAAGAAACGAGTCATTTTCGAGCTCAAAAATCTTAAAATCGTGTAACCATGGTTGTTGATTTCGTTGGGTTGAAATCAGGTCGGGCAGGTCAATATTTAACCCATAACCTAATTCTGAAAAGAAGGAAAAAAGGTATAAGTTTTGTAAGAGTCAAAGTTCAAACCTGTGACTTCAAGCTGCAACACCAACATCTTAACCAAACTCATTACTTGCATTTTATTAACACGACAAAATCTTCTTATTCCATTATAATGCATTTACAAGTTTTAATAAACAGTGGTGGATGTAGAAAAATTATCGTAGGGGACATGATATAAGATAAAATAATAATTAACTTCAATTTCATACAAAAATTGATAAAAAGTTACCTCTTACAACCGTGCCCTACGATTTTTCATCTTTTGGAATTGGCTAATTACATCATCATTTGAAACTGTGAGAAATGCTTCTTTTTCTATAGTACATATCATTGCAACATTCAAAAATTCATCACCGATTTTGTTGCGCAAATCTGACTTCACAATCTTCATAGCAGAAAAAGATCTTTCGACTGTTGCGGTAGCAACCGGCAAAACCAATGCTAACTTCAATAACCGATATACTAAAGGATAAGTTGTATGTTTTTTTGTTTCCACTAGCAATCTAGCGAGCTCGGCAATACCACTCAAATCGGCAAATCTTTCATCTTGATGCATAATCAAATAGTACATGTTAGTATTGGGTCGCTTGGGAGAAAATTATGTGCTCAAAGTCAAATGGTGGTTTGGGAGTTGTCTGTTTAAAAGTTAAAAATGATGCTTTGTTAGCTAAATGAGTTTGGAGGTTCCTGTCTAGTTCTAATGCCACTTGGAAAGATGTTATTTCTGAATTTTATGGCGAGGATGGAGGTCTCTTTTCTAATAAGCCTTTGGCTGGAAATAGTGTATGGGTGTCTATAGTCAACACTTGCAGAAATGTGACAGTGGCAAATCAGAATGTTATTCAATCGTTTACGAAACAAATTGCTAAAGATTCCAACTCTCTCTTTTGGAATGATGCAAGCATTGGTCAAGGGTCAAAGTTGAAAGATATATTTCCTAGACTTTATGCTTTGGAAAGGGATAAAAACGCCGTCTTCAAAGATAGATGGACTTATACTAATGGTTCTTGGTCTGGTGTTTGGGACTGGAATACAACGGTTAGAGGAAGAAGCTTAGATGATCTTCTAGCTTTAAAAAGGCAACTCTCTCAAACGCATTTTAATACTTCGGGCGAGGATGTGTGGTCTTGGAATTGGCACAAAAAAAGGATTTTCACGGTAAACCACATGTCAAAGTTAATCCAAGGGCTTGCTATTTCGAATGGTTCAAGCAATGAACCATGTTTTTGGAGCCCTTTAATTCCGAAGAAGGTAAACATTTTCATTTGGCGCTTCCTTAAAGAAGCCATTCCTGTAAGATTTAACCTATCTAAAAGAGGGATTTAGGTGCAGTCTTTGGAGTGCATCCTGTGTGAAAAAGGTGTTGAAACAATGGATCATTGTTTCTTTTCTTGTTCGGTGGCAAGCATTCTTTGGAGGAAAATTTGGGCCTGGTGGGATCTTCAAGCTCCACGACTTTCTTCGGTGGCTGATTTCAAAATGCTAATCAATCAAGTAGGATCTCTTCGCAAGGTTGGTGTGATTTTTTTATCAGTTTGCACTGTGGCTCTTTGGCATCTTTGGAAGTGGCGGAACGAAATTCTTCATGCTGAGGATGGGGTAAATTCTAAAAAAAAAAGATGAAGACCCTTTCCCGTGTATTCAAAACGTCTCGAAGCTTTGGATGGGAATCAGGAATCGTAAATTCCATCTTGATTGGGATGTTTGGTCTTCCTCTCCCTATTTTATTTAGTCTTTGTCTAGTCTTTCCGTTTTGTTTGGGATAGGTTTTTACCTTCGTTTTGTAAGGGGATGTTTTCGTCTTTTTGCCCCTCGTCGTGTATTTGGTATTCTGTACTTTTTTGTATCTAGCTTCTTGCTGGATTCGTTTATGTTTTGTTTTTTTAGTGGTTGGCTTGGTTGAGGGTGATGGCCTTGCCGAAGCTCTCTTCCTTGCCCTTCCTTTTGCCTTTCAAAAAAAAAAATAGTACATGTTAAGTTGTTTATCAAGAGCGATCCTTTCCATACGATTAAAATCATGAGGATACAAGTCACTCAACTTCAATAAATTTGATAAACTGAACTGCGAGAATGAATCACATGGACTCAAAGCTGCTATATTTTTAAGCAATTCAGTGCTTACCTCACTAAATCGACCCCCAAACTCTTGAATTTGCATGTCCACAACAGTGTTGAAAATATCAAACTTGTAATAATGACAATTGGTGATGTTGGTCCTTTGTCTTCTGTTTTTTGAATAACGGTCTTCCATATCCAAAGCTTTAATACCATTTGTTTCACAAAAAGAATACATTTTCTTCAAAAGTTGATCAAAAACTAGTTTCTCTAAATTGTTGCAATAGTTGTTTGGTTCCTCTTATCAATGAAACCGCTTCCAAAATATTTTGATCCTTTTTTTGAAGATCCAGTGACAACAAGTCTGTGACCTCTAAAATATGAAACATCAGATGCAGATAAATCACGAAATCAAATGTCTTCAAATATGCTAAAATACTAGTTGCTTGAGTGCGACTAAAACCATTATCCCCGTCCTCTTCAACATACTGGAGCACTTCAATAACATTCGGAAAGAAAGCAATCAAGCTCAAGATGGTTTTGTAATGAGAACCCCACCGTGTATCTCTGCACTCGTATAAGAGAAAGCTCTTGGTATTTCCCTGTTCCAGTTTCAACTTCACACTTACTAATTGCTTCCTGCACTCTATCTTTGTAACTTTGTAGAAGCATGTCTTTACGCTTGCAACAAGCATTCACCACATTGATCACCATTCCTAACATATTAAAAAGTTATCAACTCCGTCATGTTTATTTGCAACCGTCACAACAACTAATTGAAGTTGCTGAGCAAAACAATGGATATAATATGCTGAGCTATTTTCATTCAAGATTAAGGCCTTTAATCCATCGAACTCACCGTGCATATTGTTTGTTCCGTCATAACCTTGCCCTCTTACCTGTTTCAAACTCAATCCATGTTCAGCAAATAAAGTATCAATGACAAATTTAAGAATTGAAGAAGGTGTCCCCGTCACATGAACAATACCAAAAAATCTCTCCATAACAATACCACATGCATCAACATATCGTAAAACCACCACCATTTGTTCCTTTTTAGAAACGTCACTAGACTCATCAACTAGCAATGAGAACACATCATCACCAACTTCTTTACAAATGGATTTGAATATTAGATTTGCAAAACAAGCAGCAATATCTTTTTGAATACTTGGAGACACCATTTAGATTATTCTTTGGGGCATTTTTTAATATAACTTTACCTACTTCCTCATTGCAATCACCAATTAAGGCTAATGTTTCTAAGAACATGCCTCTAGAAATAGACATTTTGGATTCATCGTGACTACGAAATGGCAATGCATTCTTCAACAAGAATCTACAGGCCTTAATTGAAGCATTTAATCGTATTCGGTGCTCATTCTTCTCCTTCTCAATTTGCTTATGAAAGGCAACAACAATAGATCGATCTTGGCTCATTAGATTCTCACTTTTCTTAAGCGCTCTATTGTGAAAACTAATAATGTCGCCGACATAAAGACCAAGTCTTTCCGTTTTATTCCAACTATTGAAGCCATCTGTTACAAAAGAATCACTCCCACATTGTCCTACGTAATGATCTCTAAACAAATAACAATACAAACAAAAAGCTCTGTCCGTTTTTACATATAGTCCAACCAATTTGCGTATTGATCAAACCAAGCCGTACAAAAACGTCTTCCTTTTTACTCCCGACAATTTTTTTGGATATGTATGACCCTGTGGTTGACAAGGTCATGTAATCAAGTATTTTCTTCTTATTTCATACATTTGATTAGGATGATATTCCGAAATCTTTTTCCTATCGGCTGGATTTCAAGGAAAATCGTTCAAATAAATTTTGTAGGTCATTGCAGGAGCAGAGCTCAAATCAGGTGTTAATGCTTTCCTTTTACAAAATATTCCCATTTTTTCTAGCAATAGCAATAACAAGATAAAAATCAATGGTTTATATTTATCAACAGTAATATTTCCATTTGCCTACAAAATTGCAAAATTAACCTAACATGGATTTGTTAGTGGATTTTAACTAAAAGGTTCTACCCATGCTAATTTCAAGTATAAATAATAAAATGGTATAAAATGGCATTTGAGCAGGATGGATATTTAGGTAGAATTGAGGTCAAAAACTACCTTTGCATTTGCCTAACCTAAACATTTCCTTGCCTACAAATTGTAAAATTAACCTAATCTTTCCATTTGTCTACAAAATTGCAAAATTAACCTAACATAAGCATAAAGCATTGACCAAATCACCAATTATGAAGCAAACAAACAAAATCAAAGTAATAAAAAATTAAAGATTGAAAATCAAACCTTTAGGTTTTTACCCAAATTGGAGTAGCAATAGACGAAGCCGTAGGAAGCAAGCAGTGGCAGTGGGCAGCACCGAAGCAGCAATAGTAAGAAGGTCGAATCGAAGGCGGAAGAGGGAAGACGGAGCAGTGGGCAGCAGGGGTGGAAGTCGGAACTTGGAACTTGGAAGCGATGTGCAACAGCCAGCAGTGTAGGAACCAGGACAGGAAGGTCGAAGTGAAGCAGCCAAGCAGGAAACGATGGCCTGAGTCTTTGAGAAGGTGAAGTCGTGCGCCTTGTGGAAGAAGGACATGAATCATGGGTTGGGCTGGGAGTGAGGGGGCTAAATGTTTATTTTGTTAGGGCCCAATCAGATAAACATAAAACTATAAGTAAAAAAAGGGGTTTTGTAGACTTAATTTTGTTGGGGGTCCAGGACCCCAATCCCAAACACATGCATCCGCCCCTTTAATAAATATCATTATAACCCCTGGAGTTCCAAAAATATAATTTTTTTTCATATGATTTTATGAAATTTTCATCAAGTTTCATTTGGATTTTGTAAAATGCAAACCTTGACCCAATTTCGATTATTTATCTCGTTTAGTTACCAAAATGACCCTATAAATAGGAAATCGGTATTTAGCAATACTTCACGTATTTGCTTCTAAAATTTACCGAAATAACCTTATGTCTTGGAGATTGGTTTATAAGCTTCATTTTTATATTATTATTTCTATAAAATTACAAAAACGATCTTATATTTGAAAATCGATTTTTTATTGATACTTTACGTATTTATTTTATAAAATTACTGAAAAAACCTTATGTCTTGGGGATTGGTCTATAAGTTTCATTTTTATATTATTATTACTTTTATAAAATTACCAAAACAACCCTATATTTGGAAATCGGCATATTAGAGATACTTTACGTATTTGCATAATAAAATTATCGAAATAACCATTTGTCTTGGGGATTGGTCTGTAAGCTTCATTTTTATAGTATTGTTTGTATAAAATTACCAAAAAGATCCTATATTTAGAAATCGGTATATTAGCGATAGTTTACGTATATGCTCTATAAAATTACCGAAATAATCTTATGTCTTTAGGATTGGTCTATAAGCTTCATTTTTATATTATTATTGTTATAAAATTACCAAAACCACCCTATATTTGGAAATCAGTATATTATCGATCATTTACATATTCGCTTTATAAAATTACTGAAATAACCCTATGTTTTGGGATTGATCTATAAGCTTTATTTTTATATTATTATTTTTATAAAATTACCAAAACGATCATATATTTGTAAATTGGTAGCTTAGCAATACTTTACGTATTTGCCTTATAAAATTACTAAAACGACCCTATGTCTTGGGCAATGGTATATAAGCTTCATTTTAAATTATTGTCTTTATGAAATTACTAAAATAACCCTACAATTTGGAAATCGGTATTTTAGCAATTACTTTACGTATCTGCTTTATAAAATTTATGAAATGACCCAATATCTTGGGAATTGGTATCTAGGCCTTATTTTGATTATTATCATTATGAAATTACCAAAATGACCTCACAATTAGGGAATCTGTATTTTAACAATACTTTAAGTGTTTGCTTTACAAATTACCAAAATGCCCCTATGCTTTAAAATTGACTTTTAAGCACCGTTTTAATATTCAACTTATAAAATGTACCAAGAATGTTCTAAATTAGGGAATTGGTTAAAGCTATACATTTGGTATTCGTCTTCTTAAGATTACTAAAATGCCTCTAGACTTGGAAAATTGGTATTCTAAACATTATTTCGGGTATTAATATGTTGAACTTTAAAGTTATGCAATGATCGTTATTTATATGTGTGTGACATATTGTCACCATTATTCACTTGCAAAAATGAGACGTTTTATCCATAAAACATTATTCACGTTGCAAATTATTTAGCTTAGCTATTTTGGTAAAATATTTGTTGTTCAAGAAAATGTGAAGTGTATTGCACATTTTTATAAAATCTACGAGTGACAATTAATATTATAATGACGTCACATTATCAATAATATTTCAAGAAAATATTTGAGCGAAACATGAGATATGATAGTATCGAGGGTTGATCAATAAAAATTGTTAAGATTAGTCGTGCTAAGATTGTTGGAGAATATTGATCAATTTAGTTACGATTATCTAAGGTGCTTAGGAATGGTATGAATTATCATAGATCTAAGTGTTCTAGATTAATTTCTCTTTGTAATATTGTTCACTTTTCCTTGTAAATCTATTTATTATGTCTACTTTCAGTGATTATTCTTCTAGTCTGTAAGTATTAGACATATACTGAACTACTTGTAATATTTTCAATGACAATAATATGAGTATTTCTTGTACTTCACTGAAAAAGATCTCTGAAAAAAGTAATAGGGACACAAGTCTATGAGTTCCAGAGTTACTTTTTACATTCACTGACAATCTATAAGTCAGTGAATAAGCTTTCAGTTTCAATTTCCATCCTTGTAATTTTCTCTTAAATATGACTTAAGGAAAATCATCAAGCAAAGACTGAATCACTGAAAAAAAATCCCAAAATAGTAAAAAAGGACATGTACTTTATATGTAACTTTTTCTTACTGTTATTTGATTAGACAACTTTCTTTATGTTGTCTTGTTATCATCAAATAGGGGGAGATTGTTGATCCTCTCTCTCAGTGATTTGATGATAATCCCTCTTCACTTATACGAAGTATTTATGTTTCTGTCTTTTTAGTTCCAGCGATCTTCACTGAGCATGTTCAGTGATCGTTGAATAACTTGTATTGTAATTCAATCAGCGACAACGAAACTTCAAGAAGACAACACTCACACCAAAGAACCTTCAGCTAATGTCGAAGACTGAAATTGAAGATTAGAGACTGGCGAGTACGTGATCTGAAGTGATACTCAGTGATTACAAGCCTGTCTACATATGTGTGAAGACTGCTCAAGTCTCAGCGAATGCTGAAGAGACCTCTAGGTTATTCCATCATTCAGCGATCAAAGGAAGCTTGCCATGCACGATTGTTGTTGTCTTGTCCTTATACACACAAAGGACAAACCCATACTCATTCTAACTGTTAATATGGTACGAAGCCGACTAGTTGACTCTATTACTCACCAACTTTAGGTAAGGATGTTTGCTCATGAATAGGCTTTTTGTACTATTCACTGTAGCAAAGAACAAGCCTTCCTCTTAAGACTTGACACGCACTCTAACCCTACCATATTGCATTAAATGTGCATTTAATGCAATGGGTATAAATAGAAGTGTTTCTTCTCCATGCAGAGTGCGCGTAACACACTCTCTTAACCTAATTCTTACTTTGAGCATTCTTGAAGCTTAAGTAAAAGAACTCTTCTCTACAACATATCTTTTCTTATTTGCTAAGATTCTGTGTGTAACCAAAGATTGTTTAGATAGGTTTTTCTTACCTTATCTTTCCGCAAACAGTCTTGTAAAATTTGTATTGATCTTATCTTATCAATATACATTTTAAATTTGAAACTATTGTGTTTGTATTCATCCCCTCCCTTCTACAAACTGTTATACATATCTTGTAGACCCTCAAGGGACCAACAGTTGGGCACCACACCATCTCATTCCCCGGTAACCAGAGATATATGGTATTCGGTTCTATCCGTTAACCAATGTAATTGGTATTCGGCTCTATCCGGTAACCATGGTACATGGTATTCGGTTCAAGGATGCATCCAACATTCTCTATTTGGCTTGGCCATAACCCTTATGAGAATGCCATGACTATTTTAGCCGTCATGGAGGCGTCTCAATACCTGTACCCCAGGTACTGAGCCTAGTCATAACTAAATTCAATAACCTAAAACTGAAACTCCTTAATCGTATCAATAACTTAACATGGGATAACTAGAATAATAAAACCATGAAGCTTCCAAATTAATTTATCGGCAATAATCATAGAATACACCGTTAATGGATCGAAGTCTCAAGCTTACAAAGTCTTTAAAACAAGACATCCCATGAACACAAAAGATTTCAGATAACATCTTGATAACCTCCACTTTTGTGGATGAATACCATGATCAAAGATATTGTAGAATGGATAATCACTACATTTGTTTACCACGTATTGAAAAAATGTAGATATTCGTACCTTGGAAGTGTTAGAAATAGTCACAAGAGACTTGAGTCTTATGAACGGTTCTCTCTTTCTGGGTTACCTACACTTGTTAGAAAAAAAAATACCTTTAGACGACTTTCGGTAACAATTCTTATCAATTTCAAGTTCCTACAAGCCCTTATAGATAAAAAGATCATACGGACGTTCAAATATGCTTAAAATACCTTTAGGAAACTTAATAAACACTCAATACAATTAATAGAACCCTAAACAAAATTTGTAAAAATTCAATCTCTACATATCAAAACAGTAGCTAACTGATTCTTAACACCTAAAGTTTAAGCCTTTTTCTCATATTTAGAAGATAAACCAAACTTTCATGTAAAAATGAAAGTTGTAGATATACCTCTTAGAATTTCAAAGAAACTGAATTCACATAATTTGGAGCTTTGGTATAATTACTACAGAATTTACACTAACAGAGTGAAATTTCGAAGCTGTAGAACAGGGCTGGGAAAACCAATGTTTTCGAGTTTCTTATACTCAGAACTAGGTTTTGGTGTAACTACAAAGTTGTAGTTTACTCATAGATCTTTCTGTTCATATAAATAACATCTCATTTGCACAAATGGTTGATTTTATACAAATTTTCAAACTTACTGAATTGAATCTGTCACATCCAATAGCACCAATCTTGAAGAAAATTTCACCTCAAATCATCAATCTTTCACCTATATTCATGAATACACTTTAGGGTTTAACCCATTTTCCCCAAAGAAGAAGAAATCACAAAAAATCAAACCATAAACATACCTTACTTTGAGTCCTAATTCCAAATATAACCGACAATCTTCAAAGATCTTGGAATTTCACAAGAGATTTGAGATTTATAGTTGAATTTTAGGGGTTTTAGAGAGGAGGAGGAGAAAACCAAATGAAGACAAATCTGATTTTGGGTTTAAAAATAATAATAAAATCATATATATAATTACAATATTTACCATCTAATCCTTGATCTTAAACTTAATCTCAAATTAACCCTACTTTAGCAATTTTTTTACAATTTGGTCCTAACCAAGATTGTTTCAACCAACAATAGAACTTAAAAAAAAAAAACTTGCCTTAATAAACAACTCTTGAATACTAAGATACAAGTCAACAAAGCACGATTTCAAAAATTGAACATAATTGGGCTTTCAGCTATAATATTAGATTTTCTAAATACGGGATATTATACAGGTTAACCAGTTTATAAATCCATTATTATAATTTTTTAATATACTTTAAGTTATACTTGTGTGTATCTGTTGTTCGCTTTAGATACGAAGGTATATGTACAAGAGGGTTGCTATTGCCACCCCTGTAGTTTTCCATACCTAAGCATGGGAATTGGCCCCGACCCGTCGGGGAACCCGGTCCACCAGCCCCGGTCGGGGACGGGGATTCCCCGTTAAACCGGGTCTCGGGGACGGGGACGGGGACCCCCGTTTGGCTAAAACCGGGGATGGGGACGGGTATCACACTCCCCGCCCCGCCCTGCCCTGCCCTGTCCTGTACCCGTATATATATTAATTAATAAATTATATTATATATTATTTATTTATATTAAATCGGTAAATGGTAATTTCTATTTCAATATATTTTAGATATTACTATATGTGGTTTTGTATATTACTCAATATGTTTTGGTACATGTGACGTTAATTTTTTTAGATTAAAGTTAATTTTTTTTGTTTTCGATTTATTAATTATTGTACGATGATGTATATTTTTTGTATTAAATTAAATTCTTTTTGATTTTAGGTTTATTGGAAAACTGTGAGATTTAAATATGTGTAGCATCTCACACATTTGATTTAATTTTTTTTACAAAAACAAGAAAAAAAAATCTCTGTTTCCTCGTTGGGGATCCCCGTTTCGAACGGGGAACGAGGATGAGGATGTGATCAAATTCCCCAGTGGGGATGGGGACAAAGATCGGGGACGGGGATTGGGGTCCACGCCCCATTACCATCCCTATCCATACCCCCTTCTTCTCACATTAACATAAATCGAATTCTTTAATATATTTTTTTAATTTTAAAATTACTCTATATTTATATTTATATTTACTTAATTAATTTGTTTTATGTCTCTTGCTTTTTCATTTTTCGTTTTACACTCTTAGCATATTAATATACATAGTTGTATTATTAACTAAAATACGATAAAAATTTATATATAACATTTTAAACTTGGTTAACCAATTATATGTTCTTCCCATTAAGGTGAATTCTTTGCATGCTTTCCCATTGCAATGTAGGTATTTTAGTACCTCCTTTTTTAACATTTTGAAATTTTGTTTTTAACATTTATCTAAGTTTCTTACATATGCTAAATTTCAAGTAACCTTCGATGACCAAATATTTTGGCAAGTAAAAACTGAAAGCTCATGGTTGTTGCCTTTGTTATGTTTAACCTATTCCCAGCTGCATTGGCTAAGGATTGAAGCACAATCATTTGGATATGTCTTCCGTTTGCTAAAATTGTGAACTTCTCTTTACGCAGGTCAAAGTACATGGAGTGATGATTAGCAAACTAGTGGCGGATCTTTGATACTTTAGACAAAGATTTAGAAACCATTCGTAGATTAGAAGATGAATCACACCAAGAGTTTTATCCAGGATGCCAAAATTATTTGAAATTTTTCGTTCATTGTTACTATTTTACATTTGAAAACAATGAGTGGTTGGTCCATCAAATTCTTCTTATACTATGCATTTAAATATGATTTCCCTGATCCCATAAAACTGAAGTGCTCAAGGATATAAGTCATTGATCTCAACATGACACCTAAATTGTCCGTAGACACCTGAAACTTCACCTCAGATTCTCTTGAACTAGTATATGAACCTTAAAAAAGAGTTTCCTTGAAAACTTCAGCTGTTTTATAGTAGCGTTTGCATCTTTTGGCGAATGATGTGGTGCTTTGTTGAGTTTATGCATGTTTCACTTAATTGAAGGGGTAAGTTTGCTCTATGTCTTTTAAATTTCTTGTTGGGATTTTCAATTTGAGTGGTGTGATTTTTGGCCGTGTCTAGAAATTATGTATGAGAGTTTCAATGATTTTGATTTGTGGGTTTATCACTTTATTTGTATGTTTTTGTCACCTTCATATTTTTTTCTTCCTAATATGTTTATAATCATATGCAATATGATTTAGACATATATACTTGGCATGCTTGATTTCATGATTATATTTTCTTGATTGCTATGAGATTTATGGTTTGGTTTTGATATGCAGAATGAATTACTAAGTGAGGAAGCTGCTTCTTCGTGTTCTCGACATAAATTTGTTTGAAAAAATTGCATCATATTCCTAGACATATAAAGGAACGTGTCGCTTTGACAAAACCATGTTTTAGTCACAGAAAGTCTGCGATTGGAGTTGGAATTGGAGAAGAACAAATCAAAGGCATTAGAGGAAGAAATTAGGAGAAATAAAGAAGAACAAGTGAAATTTCAAGAGGAACTAAATCAAATGAAGGAAAAAATGAACCTCATGATGACATAAATGTCAAAGTTATCTGTAGTGAGATCTCAAAACTAAGAATTCTATGTTTTATTTTTGTTAGTCATTAAATGGTTTTAGTGATAATCAATTGACATGAGAATGAAATACTTGTTTTTAGTCTAGATCAAGAATTACACGTTTTGTAAATGAATTAATATTTTGGATTTATATCTTTACAAATCAGCATATTTTAATTATATTATAATCACAAGTAAAAATCAACAATCTTTTTTCATGTTTTCTTAATCAATGACCACTTCTTTTTGGTCCTAAATGGAAGTTAACAGAGCCATTATCTTGAACAATTAGTAACGACTTTTAGCAATTTAGCGACAATATTTACTGACAAAATTAGTCGTCATATATACATTGACCAGTTTAATTTTGTCACTAATTAGTAACTATTTTTGCATTTGGTCACTATTGGAAATTAGTGACGGACCTTTAGTGACGAAAAGTGACCACCGAAATTTTGGTCACTAAACGACCTTAGTGACCAATTTTAGGTTATTAGTGACCAATTTTTTTTTTTTGTCACTAATTAGGATTTTTCTTGTAGTGTCTCTATTTGATGGGATTGAATTAAAAATAATTTATCATTCCACACATTAATTAGATTCTAGATAATTCTCTAAACATGTAGTTTTCTCTAAAAAAAATTCTATTTTAAAGATATAATTGGAGCAAAATAGACAACAAAACTTATTTTCTCTATCTTAAAAAATTTATTAGAGATGCTCTTAAATAACCACGCATCTTGAATTTGCTGATTAAAACTTTTACAAAGTAAAAACTAATAGTAACATAACGTAAATAGATACAATAAACCACACACGACAATATATTATATTGTATGAGATGCATCATAAAATCACATGCACCATTTAAAAAGAAAGAATGAAATGTGCATTTCATGATAATAAATATCCAACATCAATAAGTTTTGGTATGTACTATAATTTGTCTAAAGAGGTTTAAATTATTTAACTCCTCTAAGAATATACGTCAAAAGTAGCTCGTTCCAAATATCTGGAACACCGGGAAGACACCAATGTGTACAGTCTGCATAATTTAAGGGATTGGATAGTTGTTTTGCTTTGAGAGCAGAATAAAACAACCTATGAATAGAAGGGTGTGCATCTTTCCTGTATTGCGTTAATTGTGTTATATTCATCATTTGCACATTCACCCCCTTTGCTTTTAGTTTATTTAATGACAATTCCAGTATTCTCATCATTTTCATATCAGACCCACTTTCCCAAAATCCATCTTTCATTATTGGCTCTGTTTCATTCAAGCAATTCGCATTTCCTTCCTTGCCCCAATCTGCTCCTCTGAACATAAATTTACAATAAAACCACAAAAATGTCATTTACTATTATGAAACTTTCATATGGTTTTTATAAATAAAAAAAAAAAACTTAAGTTTTAGATATATCACCTTTTGTGAGTAGCAGTCATACTCATGAAATATGATCGAGTCCTAGTATGATTGATATGAGTGCGTAACCAGTTTGACCAGATTTTTAGAACCATCCTATAACCACGATGGTTGCTGACTATGTTAGACTCTTTTGCATCTTCAGATGATCCATACCTAACAAGATAAAACATTTTAGAATTTGTGAAACAAAATGAGCAAGACAAATGTTAATTCTAGAAGTAAGAACTCACAAAATTTTCAATGTAGGCGTCCCCCACCAAAGGTACGAGTTAAAAACTAGTACATCTGCATTAACCCAATTTTTAGCGTGGTTCTCTATAGATTGGACATGAACTACACGCTCATTTCTTTTATGTTTTGCTGGATGGTCAGCATTAGATTCCACCAACAACGGAGCCCAATAAAAATCGATCGAGACATCGTATTCCTGTATGTTTGTATTAATATAAGTATACCTAAAAGCAAAAACATGATTAAAAAGCAATTAATAGGAGAATGAACAAAAACATAAACCCATTACTTATAATGCATAAATTAACCCCATATGCATATTGGTGGCACTTTCAATTCATGCGCCTAATATATGTAGGGTTCATGATGAGGTATTCGTGAGTGTCAAAGGACACCAAGTGCCGTTTACCGACATAAATTGGATAAGGATTTACCATGTAAGTGAGACTCTTGATATATTAGCTTTGAAAATATGATTCCGTCTTGGTAAGTGCTGATCAATTGAGTGAAACACATTGATTCTTACGCAGACAACATCTCGGTTAGCGAAATTGTTGGTTTGAGGATGTGGTTAAACAGCATTATTATATGTTCAGTTACGGGTAAGAGTGTCAGTCGAAAATGAGAGGATATTAGTAATAATCATCATGTCTTACTATGCACTTATACCCAGTAGTAACCATTACCTATTTTGTAAACAAGCCCTAAGAGAATTGGTTCACATATTTCGATACACACTTGTGTGTATCTTTGTATACAATATATATCTATATATGTGTGCAAGTGTATATCTGTGTCCGTATATGTATGATAAAAGTGGAGCAACGACAGAGAGAAAACTATTGCTCTTTATATACAAAAGTTTGTGAAAATCACCGTGCCTGGTGAAAACCTTTGTTGAAGACTTGTAATAGTAGTGTATACTGATAAATCATAAAACAGCCCTGACTATAACTGTAAAATCTCCTTAGTTAAAGACCATTAGACCATTATTGGTATCATTTGGTAGGTTGGCGACCAAGACCGTTAGCCCACTCGCTCCGTTTGCTAGGCCCTTAAGATCTCCGGAGTACGTTTTCGTAACTCATTTTTGTACTTTCAATAATTTATGAAATGCATAAGAGGAGATATCATTCTACTTGTTGTTACAAACTCTCAATAATATCACACTTGTTGATTTTATGAATTTCAATTATTTAACGGGATTATAACCACACGTTTCAAGTGCATGGGACAAAGAGATTATGGGATCAGTATATGGAAGGGAATAAGAAAAACTTAACAAATAAATTAATAATATGTAAACTGTTGTTTGCTACTCCTTCAAACGTAATTCCTTGTCAAGGGAGAATAAAGAACTCTCTTTCCACATATCGGTAATAGAGGGATAAAAATTACATGTCCTAAAATCATATTCTAATTCATATTTATGTCATATTAATGAAATTAGGGTCTGTGTGTTAGCAGAGCTTGATGAGACTTACAACTTATTCTTTCAGTTGTAAATTACTGTTTGTTAATGGCTTAATGATACAAAAATGTCTTATTCAGTAAGCTTTTAGAGTTTTATTCATAAAAACTAATATTTTCCAAACCTGCTCTTCCTAACTACAAAAATACATTCCTTCAATCAATGAAAAAATCATCTTAAACAAAAATATTTTCAATTTATACAGACTAATTAATTTATACAAACAGTTCTATCCATACAACACTTATCGAAAATCAATCGAACAGCCCCTAAGACACATCATATTTATATTTTAGTTTAAATTTATTTAAGTCATGTTCAGTTTCTCTTTATGACTATGTATATTTATGTGATTGGTGGATGTGAACACTACAACAAAATTGGGTTTTATAGGACGCCTCAAATCTCCAAGCATCCCAATAGACCCCTTTATAAGACTTAATTTATAGGACCAATATATAAAGCGTCCTATATAAAGGCATTGTAATAAGTTTATATGACGCTTTTGGACGTCTTAACAAGTTTTTAAGAAAACATTTTTAATATAAAGTGTCACATTAACAACTTTATAGGATATTTTTAGAAAATGTCCTATAAACTCAATTTTTTATAGAACAATTTTTCAAATAGTGTCCTATAAAGTTGTTAATTGGATGCTTTATATTAAAAGTGCTTTAAAAAACTTATTACGACGTCAAAAAATGTCATATAAATTTATTACAACGCCTTTAGATAAGACATTTGATTTTTTTGATCCTATAAACTAAGTCCTATAAAAAGGTCTATTAGGATGCTTAAAATTTGGGAGTGTCTTATAAACCCGATTATGTTGTAGTGAAATGAGATGTGAAAATTATATCATATTTATATTTAGCTTAAATTTATTTAAGTCATGTTCACTTTTTCTTCCTGATTATGTGTATTTATATGATCACTGAAAACTTAGGATAGGCTTTAAATGAAGTATTACTCTTATAAATAGATACTTTTCTTGGGATAAACTAAAATTGTAACGTTGACGCTTATGTTAAAGCGGATACAAACACACACACACATAATTATATATATATATATATATATATATATATATATATACTAACTATATTATAAGGAATGAGAACAACATTTAGAATTTAATTAACAAGCAATTAAACAAAGATATATGTTATGATAAGTTAACTCATAAACTAATTATGTTTAATAATATGATAACTAAGTTTATAAAATAAAATAGTTATAATTGTTGAGCATGGTATAATAATTGTCGAGAGGACGGTCGTGGGCAAATGAAGAGAGATTTTTTCCGACCGGTTGGATGGACATGGTCAGCTTAACAATTAAGACTCTGGCATGCTAGCAGATGGAGCCATTAATAATATCTCTACTACCCCACACCACCTCTCTTTTCCAGGCCATTAACTAATATATCTACTACCCCACCCCACTCACTCTGCCCTTCTTCTCATTTCTTCTCATTTATATATATATATATATATATATATATATATATATATATATATATGTTCAACAATTTATAGATTGAAAAACAAGATCGATGAAATGAGGTTCAAACACTAATTAATTAGCTTAATGGAAGGAAGAAATTATAGCCAAAGTGAATAGAAACCTAGCACAGTAAATGATACTAGATATGGTTTTTGCTTGCTTTTTTAATTAAGTAAAAATTATATGGAAGATTAGAATAATAAGTTTTAAATGGGTTATTTAGATAAATATATAACCAGAAAAAAAAAGAAGAAAGAATAATATTAATTACTTGTTGAACCACTCACAAATGCCTTGAAGCTGAACAAGGAGGCATTAGCAACTTTCTGCATCTTCTTCAGTCCAATGGGGATGACTGTTTGCAGCATGCAAACCATAGAGATCCACTGGTTTCTATTCACTGAATCCCCAACGAAAATTACTCTTTTACCCCTCAACCTCTCCAGAACTTCTCTAGCATCAAACCTAACATACATAAAAAACCAAAGGTTAATTCAGTCTTCCATTACAAAAATTCATTATTTACTTGTTCAGAAAGTCAATCATTCTATAAACACTCAAAAAATATAATTTGATGAGGTGAAATATATTTCTCAAATGCATCCATTTGTTACAAAGATAAGTATGATTCCAACTCAAAACTTAAATATCATCTTTTATATATATATATAAAAGACCAACAACTTGAATAATCTCTTTATCATTTTTGAATAAAACTTAAATGTACTTTCGAAATCTATTACATACATGCATGCATGCATAACCCTAATGAATTCGTCTACTCAATAAGACTTGATGCAAATTAATCATAAAATATGAGACCACAAGTTCGACATTAAGTGAATGCATTAACTCCTTTGTGTCACGTCTATGGAGTAGCAGGTCTGAAATTTGTTTGCACCATCAGTAAGTAGTATTATATATATATGGACCAAATTCACTTGCACCATCAATTTATTGATTTCCGCGCCTTTTCTAGTGTTGTATCTTTCCACCGACACCCTTAGTTATTTGTTTTTTCGAATCGGCTAAAGTTGCATTACAACAAAATGAATTGCTAGGACGCCCAACCATCCTTGTAGAATCAAAAACTATACAATAAGTTGTTAGTATATAATTAATTAGACAACTTCAAGAACTTGATCAATGAAATTAGACAAGAAGTTATAGATAAATCCGATTAAACTCGATCCCTCTTGAGAAGCTGAATCACGAGCATCCTTCAAGTTTCAAAAGGATCAATGATGATTGGCTCTTATAGTAAATCTCAATTGAAGGATTAAAAGGAAAAGGATATATATATATATATATATATGTGTGTGTGTGTGTATGTATATCTCGAAGGCTAGTCCATTGTTTTTTATATGTATATATATATATGATTTGTTATTAATTTTGGGATGGTTTAATTTTAGCCTCTTTCTTGCAGTCAACTCTGATGTTTTTCTTCCAAAAAAAAAAACATATGATGTTGTTTTAGTTTAGATGGTGAGTGTTTCTCTATTTGGTGTGCCCCCATATATATACATTATTATGATGTGATTGCAGATTTCAGTTTTAGAGGAATATTGTGATCTCATTTTCGAGCAAATCATTCATGTAGGATATCATCGATCAATCCCATGCATTTAAATTGTGTTGTCGATGGAGAATAAGAAAGCAAGTGCAATACAGCAGTTTCAACAAATTAAGCAGCAAGAAAGTAACAACATTGCATATTGTGTGCAATGGTTTTTTGTTTCACCTCAAAGTTTGAAACTTATAGTTTACAAGTCAAATTGAAGTATCTCTACTTGTTCCAATATTTCATGGTTTTGTGTTAATGACGTTGTTCCAGAGTGAGAAGAGGCTAAGAACTTACCTTTCTCACTAGTATTTGTAATTTGAATTTGTATCAGATTCATATGGATGCCATTATTTTATTGTTAAAAGAAAAATGTATGGATATGCGTGTATTGTTTAGAGAGAGAAAGAGAGAGAGAGAGACCTTGGAAGGTTGCAAGCATGGGGTTGCCATCTCCATTGTTGATAGTTGGAATTGATTCTTCCATGTTGTTCACAAGCAAACTCACCAGGAATATAAGGGCATTGGAGTTCTTGGTAGAGAGGATAAGAGTTGTTATCATAAACCCATTTGCCGGAGAACAAATCACATCCATCCAATGAATCATAATTAACAGCATTGTGAACCAGTGGGGGAGGACTCGTTTCTTGTTCATCGCTGTTGACATAATAAACAGCTGTGGTGGCCAGTGCTCCTATTATGAAGAAGATGATGAGACTGCTTTCAAACATATGTTTCACATCCCATATTCCTTCCAATCGCTTCTTCTTCTTCTTCTCCATTTCTCTCTCTCTCTCTCTTCCTATATATATATATATATATGTATGTATGTATATCTCAAGAACAAGGAAGAAGAAAGAATGAAATCACAGATTTATATATATATATATATATGCATCAGTACCAGGTGCTTCTTCCACCACCACCTCCGCCTCCGGAAAAGCTTGGATATGTAAAACGTTTGCTTTACGGAGATGTACTACTACATGGTATTTCGTGCCTTCAATTTTCTATTGAAAAAGAATCTCAAAGATGATGTTTTTGATCTTGGAATTGGTGAGTTAATTATATATGCACACCACTGCAACTCTGTCTCTCTTCTTTCTCTCTCTCGTTATCTTTCCCACTTGTACTCTGTTTAGTAAGTTAGACCCAAACGAGCAAACCAACAGTTGTTGCAAAAAGAAAACAAGTGTCGCGTAGTTTATTAAATGGAAGAAGAGAATACTTTTTGTGGGCATTCACATCATGTTTTGACCAATGACTACTCAGCTGATCTTCAATTAATAATTCATACTTATTGTAACCTTTTATTTTAGTATGTATTTTAATTAGATATTATTATAAAAATAGAAATTATTCTTATACATAAACTATATATTTTGCATTAAAATCACGAATTCTTTTTCTTATTTATTGTTAAAACATTATCTGTTTTTACATCAATCAGGTTGTTACTATGATATCAATATTGTTTTTTATAAGTTGATATTGATAGAAGGTAAATATCAAACAAAATACTATGCTTGTAGTGTAAATGTTTTCTGATCATATATATTTGGCATCCGATGTCAACATATTTTCCTTAACGACGACAATCAATCAATATATATTGGATTAGTAGTCTAGACTTATAATTATTATAATTATGTATTAATAAATCATAGGGGTGTGACGGTTAATTAAGAGTCGTGATGTTTGGGTCATAGTCGGTTTCTATTAACCGACTCTCTGTTATGTATGTATATATATTATGTCAACTGGAAGTTTATAGATCTGTTGGATCATTTATGAAATTAATAAAGAAAATTATTTGATCGTATACCTGGGTTTGTTTCTGTTTTGATATCAATTCATCAAAGTGGTATCAGAGCAAGGGTTTCATAGAAGGATTTCATCAATGGCATCGAGCAGTAACAATATCCTACAATCCCAACTTCCAAAATTGAATGGCAGAAATTATTATCATTGGAGCATTCATATGAGAGTTATGTTTGAATCGCAGGATCTTTGGAGTTTCATAGAAGATGGGATACGAGAACCTATAATCACAGGCGATCCTACACCCCAACAAGTTACACAGATCAACAATATGAAAAAGAAAGACAAAAAGGCTTTATTTTTCATTTTTCAAGCAGTCGAAGAAACGATTTTTGAGAGGATATCAACATGTAATTCTTCTAAAGATGCCTGGGATACGCTTTATAGGACCTATAGAGGGGAAGACAAGGTGAAAATAGTTTGTCTTCAGACTTTACGCTGTGAATTTGATGGTCTTCGAATGAAAGAGAATGAAAGCATGGAAGATTTCTACAATCGGGCAATTGTTATTACTAATCAGATGAAGCTTAATGGGGAAATGATTGAGGATAGAAGAATTGTTGAAAAAATTCTCAGAAGTCTCACAAGAAGGTTTGAATACATTGTAGTAGCAATAGAAGAATCAAAGGATCTCTCCGCTCTATCATTAGAAAGTTTAATCGGGACACTTCAATCACATGAATTAAGGATGAGTCAGTTTGATACACCTCAAACTGAACAAGCTTTTCAATCACAGATTTCTTTTAAACAAAGTTCAAATGATTCAACAAAACAGGAAGGTCAGAATGATAGAAACTCGAAGGGGAAAGGAAGAGGTAAGCCTTTATCTCAGATTCAATGTTACTATTGTCAAAAATTTGGTCACACTCGAAAATTCTGTCGAAAAAGACAGGCTGATGAGAATAAGGATGCAACGTTTATGCATGAAAATGGAAACAAAGAAGATGACACTATGTTCATGACAATCGAAACTCAAGAAGAGGTTTTGGAGCAAGTTTGGTATCTAGACAGTGTTTGCAGCAATCATATGACAGGGGACAAGCAAATTAAAGGAAATCAATCACAGGGAAGTACGAACTGGAGACGAAAGGAAGCATACGGTTCAAGGCTTCGGAGATATTCGTGTGGTAACTAACAAAGGTATTAAGAAAATCACTAGTGTATTTTATGTACCAGCACTAAGGCACAACTTACTTAGTATTGGACAGTTGTTATTAAATGATTTTGACATCCATTTTAAGAATCGTACATGTATGATTAGAGACAAGGAAGGTGCTCTTTTTGGAATTGTAAATATGACTGGGAACAAGATGTTCCTTGTGAAGTTTGATAAAAGATTTCTGGCCTCGTTCAACATGTCGATGGAAGACAAATCAGAATTGTGGCATCGAAGGTATGGACATCTCAGTTATGGTTCGTCGGAACTTATGTACAAGAAAAGAATGGTATATGGGTTACCAAAGATTGATCAGCATAATGAAGTTTGTGAAAGTTGTGCACTTGGAAAACACACAAGAAGTCCTTTTCCTCATGATCAAGCATGGAGAGCATCCAAACCACTTGAATTGGTTCACACATATGTGTGTGGCCCTATGCGCACCATGTCAATAGGTGGGAGTAAATACATACTCACATTCATAGATGATTACAGTAGGAAAACTTGGGTGTATTTCCTCAAAGAAAAGTCTCAAGTATTTGAGCAATTCAGAAAGTTTAAGGCTACTGTTGAAAAACAAAAGGATCTTTTTTTGAAGACATTGCGGTCTGATAATGGTGGGGAATTTACCTCTCAAACCTTTGAAGAATTTTTAAGTAATAATGAGATTAGACATCAGAAAACAGTTCGATATACCCCGCAACAAAACGGGGTTGCGGAGAGAAAAAATCGGGTTATTATGGAAATTGCTCGTAGTATGTTAAAGGCTAAAGACTTACCAGATAAGTTTTGGGCCGAAGGAGTAGCAACAGCAATGTATATCTTAAATCATTCTACTACTCGGAGTTTAGAATATAAAACCCCACATGAAGCATGGAATGGAGTCAAACCGGTAATTTCACATTTTTGAGTGTTTGGCAGCATAGCATATTCACATATACCATCTGCAATAAGAGTGAAACTCGATGACAGATCACAAATATGTATTTTGGTGGGTTACAGTGAACATGCAAAGGCTTATAGATTATATAATCCAACAGAAAATAAGATTATTATTGCAAGAGATGTAATATTCGACGAAAGCAAAAGTTGGAATTGGAAGGAAAACAAGTCTAATAATCAAGCAGTTATCAATGATGAAGATATGAAGAAGCATCAGGTGCAAAAAGATGATGAAACAAGACATGAAGATAATCAGGTACATACTCCATTAAACAGTCTTGTTAATTCAAATACTGCTTCACGAATGTCGTTTGCTTCATCATCCTTATCCAATTCTCCAAATACACCAGTAAGATTGAGAAGTCTAAGGGAAATATATGATCAGACAGATCGTATAGATGAAATAGCAGACTTTGCCCTCTTTGCAGACGYTGATCCAACTGATTTTGAAGAAGCAAGAAAACATGATCATTGGGTACAGGCTATGAATCAGGAAATTGAGTCTATTAACAAAAATAAGACATGGGATCTAGTTGAACTTCCCSCTGGTCATAAGCCTATAGGAGTGAAGTGGGTTTATAAAACTAAACTCAAGKAAACCGGGGAAATTGAGAAGTTTAAARCACGTTTGGTGGTCAAGGGATACAAACAAAAGTTGGGAATCGATTATAATGAAGTATTTGCTCCAGTAATCAGATTAGAAACCATTCGTTTGATCATCGCATTATCAGCACAKAATAATTGGGTCATCCATCAAATGGATRTCAAATCTGCTTTCYTARACGGGTACCTTGAAGAAGAGGTATACATTGAACARCCTCAAGGTTACGTCAGAAAAGGAGATGAACATAAAGTTTGCAGGTTAAATAAAGCTCTATACGGCCTTAAACAAGCACCACGTGCTTGGTACAGCCGTATAGATGGATACTTCTTGAAGCATGGATTTCATAAATGTCCATATGAACACACATTATTTATCAAAGAATGTGAGAATGAGTTACTCTTTGTTTGTCTATATGTGGATGACCTTATCTTCACAGGAAATAGCTCAAGAATGATTTCAGAATTCAAGAGCTCAATGAAATCAGAGTTTGAAATGACAGACTTAGGAAAGCTTCACTATTTTCTAGGAATTGAAGTAAAACAATATGAAGATGGGATTTCGATCTCTCAAAAAAGGTATGATAATGAAATTTTGAAGAGGTTTCATATGGAGGATGCAAAACCAAGTCCTACACCCATGGAGGTTGGTTTAAAATTATCAAAAGATACTGATGAAGATAACATTGATCCTGCAATTTTCAGAAGGTTAGTTGGTAGTTTAATGTATTTATCTGCCACAAGACCCGATATCACATTCCCAGTAAGTCTTATTAGTCGCTTTATGGAAACACCCAAGGGCAGTCACTGGGAGGCAGGAAAAAGAATTTTGCATTACATAAAGGGTACTGCAGATCACGGGATTCGCTATGAAAAAACCCCTAATTCTGAATTGGTTGCTTTCGGAGATAGTGATTTCGGTGGAAGTGTAGATGACAGCCGGAGCACATCAGGTTATATCCTTCATATGGGATTTGGAACCATTTCATGGCAATCGAAAAAACAGAAGGTTACAGCTTTATCATCGGTTGAGGCTGAATATATGTGTGCTACTTTAGTAGGATGTCAAGCCTTGTGGTTGCGTGGGATTTTAGATGAACTTAAACATCCTCAGAGAAAAAAAACCCACATCAATTTACTGTGACAACAAATCTGCAATTGCTTTAAGCAAAATTCCGGTGTATCATGGAAAAAGTAAGCACATTCGAATTAAATATCATTTCATACATGAGCTAGTTGGTTATGGTGAAGTTGAAGTAAGATTCTG